AATTGCCTTGAAAAAAATTTTGATTTTTTTTAAACAAATAAACCTAATATATAATCATAAAAGAAACATAAAATAGTATTAACGAAAATCTATACATTCATGTGAAAAAAACTGCAAGAGATCAAGTTGTCAAAAAAATTAAGTGGCACATTCCTTCCAAACTCTTGCCGTGCATTGTAAACATACCGGAATCTTGCACGTTATGCAAATGTGAGTGGTTTTTCTTTCTTTTTTGGCAGGAAATCTTTTGCACGTTGTTCTTTTATTTTCTTCAAATGGTAGGACTTCAAATGGAGTATCCATTTAAAGTATACGTTGCATAGAAAATCTGACGTCACGTGGCATATTCGAATTTTGGAACCTACGCTTCATTTCTTGCTGTACTAGCATCATTCCTAATTGTTTGTGGTAATCATAGCGATCCATTGTTTCATTATCTCGATATGCTTGTTGAGCGATAAACGAATTGACAGATGCTATGTCTAAAAGTCTAAAGAAAATGGCCATGGTCCAACGACGAGTTCTGCGACTAGATGAATAGATACTGCACTTCTGGTCTAAACTGTCTGCACCTCCTTTTGTTAAATTATAATGCGCAATTATTTATGGCTTGTTGGTCTTTGCATTATTTATTTGGTTATGGTGCATTTTTCTTTTTTGGAACATGGGACAATAATGGTATATCACTTGTAAATCCATAAAGAGACGAGTCTATTTGCCTGTGCCTATTTGGTAAAAACGAAGGTGGAATTTCAGCTTTATTTTTTTTTAAGTTCCCACAAATGTAAGCTTTTTGGTTTTCAAAACATTAACTAGTTGTATTGATGAAAACCAATTACCCGCTGTGATGTTGCGATTGGTATTAAAAAGAGGTTGTGCAAGTTTTGGCACTGCCTGTGTAGGTTTAGCATATTTTTTTAAGTCCTTACTAAGATCATACCCATCAGAGTCTTTTTCACAGTATATATATATATATATATATATATATATATATATATATATACATATATATATATATATATATATATATATATATACATGTATATATATATATATATATATATATATATATATATATATATATATATAAATAGAATATAAATAGAACCTTGTGAAAGCCCGTTGTAAAGTTCTCTTTGACTATGTTATACGTTGTAATAATCTCCCAAAATGTTTTTTTATTAGGAAACAAATTGAACCCTTAACCAACGTGGTGAATTATTTTTACACCAATGACGTGGTAGAGTCACTGTGACTCCATGTTGTCAAACTGACAATTTGTTTTCTGAATGTTATGTTAAAGTTATTGAAAGTTAAAAAGACATTTAAAGAAAGCATATTTATTTTAAGTAGTTAAAAAATACAAAATAATATAAACTTAAAGGAAACTAAAAATTGAATGAACCGAAAAATATGCTAACAGCGTTTGCGTCAATAAAAAAAACAAATTATTTTATATAAACATTTTAAACACTTTTTTAAAACTATAATAATTACTAAAATAATATTGTTTTTACAAATAGTTATTCTAGAAAAAATTGTCAAGTCCTAAAACAGATCGCATTGCAAACAGATTGGTTGTTTACACTGTATACACAGAAAACTTTGTCTTTGTTTTCAATTTTGGGTTCCATAAATAGCAGTATTTTCTAGCGTTCTTGGATAAGGTATCCGGATGATCGTCATTTTCGGTTGGATTTGTTCTTAGCACCTTTGATGTTGCTAAGTCTTAGTTCTCTTAGAAGACGTTGGTTAATTTCTCGTTCTCGAAGAAGTGGTTTATATAGTTGCTGTGTCAAAATCTTCATAAACTCAAATCTTGTATATTTTGTTCTGTTGGCACAATCCTGGTGAATAATACATACAATTAATGCACTTATATCCATTATTCTAAAAAAATATGGCCTTCGGCCAGCGCCTGGTTCTTGGACTGCACGAGTATTTTGTGCATTTTTCGTGTACTGAATCTACGCGTGCTTTTGTATTGTTATAAAAGGCATTTATTTCCGGTAACCCAGTTTCGATATCATCGTGTTTCTTGTGATGCAGCGAGGATATTAAAAGCACAGCCATATTTTTCTTTGGTACTCGAGAGATTAAAGTTTTAGTTTTTGTAGATCCGTATAAAGTTGAGTTTACAGAACTCTTTAGGAATTTTTTTTATTCCTTTTCATAGTGCCAACATAATGTTAAAGTATTATTTAATAAAATATTTACACGTTCTACTGATGTGTACCAGTTGTCGCCTGTAACATTCCTATTACTGTAAAAGATCGACTTGCAAAGGCGAACCACTGCTTGGGAGGGAATAGAGTTTTTTCGTCTGCAGTCAACTCCTCTAATGTATCAGGTCCTTTTCCAGAATATGTATATATATATATATATATATATATATATATATATATATATATATATATCGGAAAATGAGTACGACCGTCAATCCAATATATTATAAGGATCACTCAGAGTGGTGGATTCTTATATCGGTCTCAAGGTGGAGAAATAAAAGACAAAGTTGATAGGCTACTTTATCTATTTTGAAAACGTTTTGCTTTCGTATTCCGAAAGCATCATCAGTTCATCTAAAAAGTACAATATAAGAACCACACAATCATGGAAAAGATGTTATAAGTGTTACCTTAAAAAGACATGTAGCAGTCAAATGTATTAACAAGTTTGTGAATAAAACTCAAGTAAATGGACATTATACGGTAGTATTGTATAAACAATCAATTAACTAACAACATTTAGCAACTTATTAAAAATTAGCACAGCAACTGACCATGTGGTCTAAAGTATAAGTAATATTTTATTTTATCTTAAGTGGTGAAAAGAACCAAGAAAATCATAGATTTACTTCCAACTATTTGATAATTATTTAGCTTTGATTTTAACTTTAGGTAGCATTATTAAAGTGATGTTTAATAAAAATTTATTTTAAAAAATAGTGTAAATGAAGTTACCGATCAAAGCCTTACAGCTGCTGCCTGGAAAATGGCGATAATTGAAACAGACCGAACTAAACCGTGAAAAGACAGCCAACCTTGAGGTCAAGAATTTGACAGAGCAACAAGGTAGAGGTACCACCCCAAATAATTGGGCGGTCTATTTAAAAGTTTAGATAAGTTTGGATGACAACCCGCTTTTAAGAGACAAACCAATGAAAGAAATTGGTATTATAATAGCAATTCCTCGCATTAACCAGTCTAGAATGAACAAAGAGGAGAAATTCATTCAACCTCATATATATTTAATAAACGTTAAACATTATAGCTGGATAATCCGCCACAGGTGATTAACGAAAAGATAATTTTCATAGTCCAAGGTTCAAACGCTTGGAACTGTAATTTGTAAAGGATTCTATGAATCCATTACAATATTTGTATTATATTATTTAAGTATATATTAAATATTGATGTTAGTTGATTTGTTAGACCAGGGATATATGGTAGTTTTCTATATCTGGTTTCTTCGGGGGGTTTGTCTATTTGTACATGGTATTTAAGAGCTACACCGATACAACAATTAGTAAATACAGCAGTTTTAAATGCAACAACTTATTTTCTAAAACCAAAGATCATACACCAACCATGTACAATAGTAACGTCATTTACAAAATGTTTAGGATGCCAGGGATGCTACATTGGTCAAACCGGACAACGATTGAAACAACGGGTCACTCAACACAGAAGTGATTGCAGAAGGGGAAAAATACATGCGCTGTTGTCGAGCATTCTATCAAGACAGGTCATGAATTTGATTTTGATAATGTAAAAATAATACAATAAGTCTCAAATTACAAAAATGAGCTGTTTCTCGAAATGTGCAATATAAGCAGGACAGATAATGCTATTAACAACAAAACAGACGCTAACGGACTTAGTTCCATTTATTGTAACATATTAAAATCTTTTTAAATTATAAAATATATTAGTTTCTGCACGACACTGATTAAATTGTAGGACAATTAAACAAAATCAGGTATTACAATATTTTAGTTGAATTTTAGTTTGTCACTCATGAAGATGTGTTTGTGTTTTAATATTGTAAGTTCTTTTATGTCATGTTATATTTTTTTATTCTATCAATAAATAATTTTTTTAGTGCGCTCTTGAAAAAGCCATAAACCAAATGGCGAAATATTGAGTTTACGAGAAAAAAATCGTTTTATTTTCCGACCAAAAAGCCTGATAATATACATTTACTTTAATTATTTGATGGTCGATAACGAAAAACTAACTATATATATATATATATATATATATATATATATATATATATATATATATATATATATATATATATATATATACAAATAAGTGTTCTATACATAGTGGGTGCGAGCATCTGCTAAACATTGAATTTTACTCCATACTTTTCGGATTTATTAGGTATGTACATTTTAAACCTACATCGCCCTCGAAAACCGACTAACGTTTAATCGACTGTAGTATTAACACCTAGTACATAATATTTTGAGAATTTTAGTTAAATATCTTTAAAATGTGGGAAATTGCGGCAGCTGGATCAGTTTTAGCTCGTGTATCAAATCGTAAGTATATTAGCAGTACAGCAAATCTACGTGCTAAGAATGCCATTCTAAATATTTTTCTCCCCGTACCATCAGTAGCAAACAGTGCGTTGATGTCTTCATGGTTAGACTTGGAGACGAATGTCAATAACAGAAGACTCAAAAATCCATTGATCTCTGTATTATAGATGTCTCTAAATTCTGTGATTTTCGTCCTTGTCGTGATATTCCCTCAGTGTGACATTTGTTTAATATACAACAATGTCAACAACATCTCTAGAAAAAATTTTAAGTTACCTTACCACTGGTTCCATCTGTGTCAAAGATCCCTTGATAGTAGGCGACCTCAATAAATTAGAAACAGGTGCTCTAAACATTGCGAGTGGGATCAACTGATGCCCATTTGTACCTTTTTTTTTTTCATTTATTGAATCTTCATTAGACTCATACCTTTTTTCCGATTAATTACTGTTTGGCGTGTCGTCACCATCTCTGTCGGAAAAATCACTACCGGCCTCTTCGTGCCAACGCCCAAGAAGTTCTTCAAAATTAGCATCGTCTGGATGCACACTTTTTTTACTTTTAGAAACCAGAATTCAAATAAAAACTATAACAAAAAACGTGGTAGTGTCCCTAGGACTCTAATGTGTTCTATTCGACAACCTCTACGTAACTGGTCGCGATTTCGCATAAGTAAAACGGCGATCTCCCTACTACCTGAAGGTACTGTACGAAATAACTCGTTTGGATTAATAGTGGGGAAACTATGAAGCGTTGTTTTAACTGCGGAGTCCGAGGGACTCCACTACGTCGGTTAAACAATAAAATATTTATAGAGACTCTTATTGATACCAAAAGCCACCATTTTATAAAAAAATATTTCCAAATCTACCACAACATAAGCAACTTTAGGGTTCCGAAAAAGACATAATATCGCTGGTGACCTGGCAATACCTCCTAAGTGATGTCAAACACTTTTTTCAGGAGAAACAAAAAACTGATTAAACCGTTACTATAAGGACTTTTTTATTATTTTTTAAGTCAGTGGTTTAAATAATATAAGCTCTAACGTTGTTTTGAAATAAAATAGTACAATTGTTAAATTATGTATTTATTAGGACACTTAGGATATATTGATTCTTAAATATTGTCAAATAGGATATTTTACAACACTTTATTTTACCTATAGGAGAAAATGATATAATAAAAAACATTGCTAACTTTTCTTTTCAAACTTAAAAAATTATTTCTTACAACTTAAAACAAAACAAAAAATAAAAAAAAGTTTGTTTTAGGGTATTTTGTTAAATATGCACACATATTTTTTAAAATAATGATTCGGAACTGCAAAATTTTCATGTAAAAGTGCATCGTAAAATGCATGCGTATCTTTGGGAAGAACTGATTTTAACTCCTGAAGATGTTGCCACTTTTCAGACTTAATTTTGCATGGTCCTTGTAACAGTTTGGGATATTCCAATATTGTTGGCATAGTTTTTGGTCTACATGGGAGTTCTTTGTATTCATCCTCATAATCTAATTTTACTCTTATAGTGCCGCATGGATCATATTGAATACTCTTGATGTCATTAATTACTGGATCGTTGGTTTTTCTTCCAGGCCTAATAGAAGAGTATCTTAAATACTTAGAGGAGGAGAAATCTTTGAAAAATGAAGATTCCAGCAGTCGAGTTCTGTAAGGGGCAGGCGTCTTTCTCGCTTCCTTCGTTACTGACTCATAATCGCTAGGCAAATGGATTTCTCTATGCCTAAGAGATCTTTCTATAACGCTGTGTACCGAATCACACTCCATCTGAGTGTGACCCGGCTCAAGAAATTTTTGGTATACAAAGATATTGTATCTCATAGCAAAATTTAATAGTGCATTAGCTAAAACACTGTTTCTGTTCTGATATCCACATCCATCGGAGAACATCACGATTGGTGTTTTAGAATCAGTCAAGCAATACGTCTGCAAGTAATGCATAATGAAACTTGTGAATGTTGATGCTTTCATTATATTATTCTGATCTTCAGAGAACCAGTAACAGAGAGCATCTTTTGTCCTAAGGTCATAGACTGTAAAATTGTGACAACAGAGCTTTGTTTTGAAATAGATTTTATTAGCGGGAAGAAAAGGACATAACTTGACTGCCTGCAGATCCATTGTAATGACTATAAGATTGCCTTTTTCCGCTTCCTCTTTATCAGTATTCTTAGCTTATCTCGCAAGATCTTTTCTTTTTATATGCAACTGATATTCGTCTTCGGAAATATTTCCATATTTAAACGAAAAACAAGTATTACACTGGTCTTTTTTCGGCTTGTATAGTGACAAGTTCTTCTCTTTAAACTTCTTAGAAAAAACATTTCTTCCCAATGGAGTTACTTTTTTGTCGTTGCAAAAGTCATGACAGTAGACACTGTAAAGGTGAGCCATGTTTTGAAAGGTGTTTTCCAGGTACAGTTTAAGAGTATCTCGACGACAGTAATGAGATGGAAGTTTGGGTAATAATTCAAAAAAGTTATTTAATAATCCGTAGTCCGTATCGAATCTCCTTCTTACGTATTCCTTGGTATTTATACTTGTAGAAGCTTCTTTACTCATTCCAAATTTGCTGTTGTCGATCCAAGCTTGAAACGTTTTGTAACCAAGATCTAGTGTATTTAAGAACATGGTACGACGAACTTCAAGATTTTCGTTTGCATCGTTTAAATAATAATGATATGTGCCTAATCTCCTGGAATTCTCTTTGGTTTTTGTACGAGTTGGAACTTTTATAACATGTGATGCGACGAAAACTTTACGCTGATCCCAATTCAGATCATTCCAAAACTTTTCAAAAATAGCTGCCCTACATTCTTCAGATATTTCCGCCAAAAACCTAACTTTAGAGTTTTTACATTTCTTTGAATTACATGTTTCTTTAATGCTTCTCCCATTTTTTGGGCAATTTTGTCTCATTTTCTCTCCTTTATTTTTACTAAATCCAAGATAAGGTTTTCCTTTCATCCTTAACCTTTTGTTTATATTTCTTATCCATAGTGATGGATCAGGAATGCTTTTTCTCTTTCTAGCTTCATTATTTTGAGTCTCAACCAATACTTCTTCATTGTCAGGATGATTGAATTTTTTATCCATTGAATCATTATTCGTTCCAGAACTTGCCTTGGACTCTGAGCTAATGGATTCTTCTTCACTTGGGACATAGTCGTCGGTGTCAGGTCCACTATCCTGTTCATCTTCGCTCGAAATTTCGTAAGGTACAAGGCTTCTTACCAAAAATGGTTTAGAACTGCAAAAAATAAAAAAATGGTGGTATTACTAGCTATTTGTAATGTTAAAATTAAATCAAATTGGTATATTTTTAAAGGTATGTGGGGCAATAGAACACTTAAATTATAAAAAAAATCTGGACAGACATTTAATTTAATTTTTCGAATACCCCACATGCCGTTAAAACTGCAGGCTTTTTTATACTGACTTACTTGTGACTGTTGTCTTGATTAATAGATTGCAAAATATCACAGGCCGAACTGTTTTCAGTCTCAGTCATAAGGTACTCCGTTTGGTCACATGAAGTGTTAATTATTTTTGGCGATAACTGACTATCCGCTAAAATTTCACTAATGGAGAAAGCATCAAGAACTTTATCTTCAATGATATTATTATCATTCTCCAATTCAGTACTATCCATTAAATAAATTGGCATATTTTCTAAGTAAAAAAATTCTGAGTTTAAATTCGTATTTTCTTCAAACTCGATGGCAGTATTTTGTACGTTATCATCATTAAAACCCTTTTGCAGATCAGGGTTTTCATTTTCTTTGTTGGATACCATTGATACCATAAGTTTGGTTCTATTTGAGATCATGTTCCTAAAAGCAAAAAAAAATACTTGTAAAATAATATAAAATTACCAAATATTTATTTAAAATTGTATTTAAAATAATGAATGCAAAGTCTCCTATTTAAGTTTTAAATTTTTTTTAATGGCAATTACTCCTATCTGAATTAAATAGCTGAAACATCGTTCTAGTTTCAATAAAATTAAGTAATGTGTCTAAAATTCCTTTATCATAACTAAATAAACACACATGTTGAATAAACAATTGAAATACTTACGCAGTTAGTATGATTTTCGCTATAAAACGTCAGACAAGTCCAAGCACGTCCGTAGCACATAACTTTACCACACAAACTAGTTAGATAGGATAATTTGCGTCTTGTTTATTTGCTCTAGTCAGGTAGGAGATTTTTCAATAGCGATTTTTAGGCTTTCAGCTTAATCGTATAAATACGAGATTTTAAACAAATGTGTATCTTTATGCTACGTGTTTAAATCTGGAAAAATCTCATTTTTGGCAAAAATGGCAGATAGGAGGTATTGCCAGGTCACCCGCGATATGTAATTGTTTTTTGATAGATGCAATTGTGCAAATAATTGTACCTATTCCTCTACCAAATCCATACTGATATTTTGGTAAAAGTGATCCTCTTTCAACAAAATGTTCGAGTCTGAATTTTATAAGCCTTTCGAAAGTTTTTGTAATATGCGATAATACTGAAATAAGTTGGCAGGAGGAAGCTAAGTTAGATTCTCTCTTAGGTTGTACTAGAAGATACACTACTGTATTTATAAGATTATCTGAATACTTTTGTTTTAACCTCCAATCATTCAAAATTTCTAAAAGAAGAAGTTTACCATTTTTAGGTAATTTGTTTAATATCATATAAGTAAACTCGTCAAGTCCAGGTGCGGTATATTTTTATTTTTTTAAGGCTAATTCTAATTCGAAAAAGCTAAAAATGTTTAAGAGTGTTTGCGTCTTACTAAAAGTGAAATTGATTAATGTGATCGTTAAAAATTGGAACCGAAGCAGATGAGGGAGCCAATTTATCAAACACTTTTTGAATAAGGCTTTTGTTTAATTATGATTTTTCTTTTTTATTAATATTTATTTTAAATATATCTTACAGTATTTCATATCTCAGTCAAGGGAGTGTTTTCTTCGACTGTATTTTTTGAAAGTTTGGTTTGAAAGTGTGTTTGACATTAGCGGAATTGTTTTGGAAGTGTAGATGTTTGATAAAATTGTGTTTTTTAAATTCGGTTAGAACTTCTTTTCCCTTTTAAACAATCAGAAAACATTATTCGTCCCACCAATAAGGTCTTGGTCCAGAACGTGTAAAAGGTATCTTAACAGGCATAGATTTCAATGCTGCGACTTTAATTGAACTAAGAAAAAATTTGATTTTATCTAATGAAGTTAAATTTCTTTCTAAATTATTGACCTCACCAATATTTAATTCAAGTTCGTTGCCAGATATTTTGAATGTCATCTTCTAGGTATAGTTGTATACAGTGTCGGACTTATATATTGATACATTTTATCAAAATTACAGCAATCTCACAAAGTAAAAGAAAAATACATATTAGTAATACTTTTATATTAAAATATATATTGAACATAGTAAAAAAATACGAAAAAAAAATAATTTTAAACTGAACTATCGTCTACATTTAAATCGGTATCGCTATCATTGCTATGGTTTAAATATATTCTTTGTTTATAAACTTTGGAACTGTAAGTATTTTTCTTCTAGTTTTTTGACATGCTCTATACATTTTTTCTAATTATCTGCTGTAATATTATTATATTCGGTTTTAATTAAATCTACAACAGTTAAAAATAATTTATGAGAATTATTATTTTTCCTCACAATACTTTTTAATTAAGACCACAAAATTATATTGGATTCAGTACACAATAGTAAGGAGGTAATCTTATACTTTATAGCCATAATTCTCAGCTAGCCTGTCAATAACATAATTTTTTTCACATTGAAATAATTTCAATAGCTCTACAAGTTGTTTTTGTGTAGGAATCACAGTGAATTTTCACCATATTTCCTCTAGAGAGTGGAACATTGGTGACGCAATTTTTACTACCATCGGTCCAACATTTTTTAACTATGTCGATATATATGATATATTGTTTTCCATATAGCTGATAAATTAAAATTCGGTAATACTCGATCGGTTATTTACCAATCGTTAACAACTCAAAATTGAAATACGTACCTGGTTAAACCTACTTTGTATCATTTAGTAAAGTACCTTTAAACTTTAAATGGAATTTAAAATTGAACCTAATGTAACGAATGAGTAACGTTGACTATGATTCAGAAAAAAATCGTAGCATCTGATTCGTCTTTAAAAAGACAACTACATGCAATGATAATAGTAAAATTGTGTTGTTAATTTTTTTATAGTAAATCATAAAGAAAAACAGGGAAAAAACCCCGTGACCCTACCCTGACATGGTGTGTTGTATTACATTTAGTTTACTGCCAATAAACACCAAATTCGGATTTTATATGTAGTTATTCAAAAACATAAAGGATCATCGATATGTGATTGACTCGGTTCCGTGCTCCGGAGGAGCGCGAAGAGGAGGCAGGATGTGGTACAGCTCAAATTTGCTTTGCGAAACCCCGGGGGTAGGGCAGGTCCTCCCCGACACGGCGCGTCCCAATGGCTCAGGGTGTCTCCATGAAGTGCTGAGCCGTCGCACGTCCCAGGCCCTTTACGGGATGTAAAAGTTGCGCGACCGACCAGGGCATCATGGATAAGCAATCGATATGGATCGGAAACCCGTTCCAAAAAATTGGTCGCGGACCAAAAGTACCTACCCTACCCAAACTTCGACGACTACGCCAGACCCACATTTTCTTAAATTTTTTCTTACACAAACCTTTTCTAAAACCAACAAACTCCAGCGCGTAGCTGACATGTTTACCATACCCTCAAAAATCCTAAAAACCACTTGGTTTCCCCTTTCCCATTATCCTATTTTTTCCCGCGCAGCAGGGGAGGCAGCTACTGCGCAATATTTCCAGGTAGAATAGTGTTAATAACACTGTCTGTCACTGCGTCTGAAGGCAACCGTGAAAAAAAAAGTCTAGAGGAGTAAACCTCGAGAACAAATCCCCAATATTACGGTGGGAGGCATCGTGCCAAGAATATCTGAGGTGCGAGGTTTAGAACACCACAACCGATCCCTCCAGGATACCTGGCGACCTCCTGGAGTAGGAAAAGCCTTGACGTGGTAAGGGCGCACTGCTACGTTGGATGTATAGGACGTCCCAACTCGTTGGATTCAGATGGAACAAATAAAACAAAACAAGAAACAAAACTCAAAACAAGACGAAACCCAACGGAATAAAGAAGAAAAGACAGATAACTACAGTATAAACATAGAAGATAAACGAGAGATTAGAGAAGAACGGCTGCTGGACAGATTTGAAGAAAAAATTAGGGAAGAGGAGGAAAGAAAGAATTTCGGATTGGAGCTTTTGAAGCGACAAAACAAAAAGCCGAAGATGAATAGATCCACATACATACATCGTTAGACACTCGACGCTGGTAGGAGAAGAACTTTTGGAAATTATTCGGGGAGAGGAGGAGAAACAAGACTCTAACGGGGAAAGGAAAACAGAAGACGAAGAGAACATATATACGAGTGTACTAGCCCTGGTCTTACTAGATGAAGAGGATAGATACGAAGACAGAGATATAAAAAAGAGAAAGAGAGATAGTCCTGAGATTAAAAGACGACAAAAAAGGAAAGGAAAGAAAAGAGGACAGTGTGACATATAAAGAGGAAACATCAAAAGAAGGAATAAACAGGAAGCTCACAGAGCTGTTAAGTATCTTAGGAACAAAAGGGGAAATAGAAATACAAATTCAAAAACTAGTAGGCGAAATCAAGTCTCTAAACAACAAGACCAGAGACTTAAACAAAACGAAGGAGAATGAATGCGAACAATGTAAAACAAAAATAGAGCACGAAAAACAAAACAAAAAGAAACGCAAAGTATAAAAAGCATAATAAATAAAGGGGGAAATAAGGATACTTTTAATAGTATATTCAAAGAAAAGTAGAAAAAAGAAGTATACCAAAAAACAAAATGGGAACAAGCAGGTCTACAGGAAACTGCTGACTAATAACAAAAAAAGGAGACAACGCAGGGGGAGTTAAACATGTTATAAAAAAAGTCAGAGAAGAACTGGCGGAAATAATGAAGGGATGTAAAGAGGGAGAGGTTGATTTTATCGAAAATAGCATGAGAACCTCCAAAGTAGAGAAAAAATGGTAAAACTTTGTCACCAAATTGGGAGAATATAACGGAGGAGATGGCGTGGAGGAATATAATCTGGCAAACAAGATTATAAAAATTGTCAGACAAGGGAAGAAAAAAATTAAACAAGCGCAAGTGGTCTTGAGCAAAAATGTAGAAAAGGATAGAATGAGAAAGTCTCTAGAATTTGTCTGCAGAAGAGAAGAGATCACTTGGGGGATTCTAGTTAGGGGGATGAAAGCGTGCAAAATAAAGAAAGCGGAAGAAGCCCTCTTAATACGTACTGGTGGTATGTCATACACAGACGTCATTAAGAAAATGAATGACAAGGTGGACGTGACAAAAATTGGACTAAAAATAGATTAGTTAAAAAAACCAACGAAGGAGATATATTGGTAAAATTAACAGGGAAAGGGGCGGCTGCGAAACTCAAGTAGAAGCTAAATGACAAACTAGGTGGCATAAGCAAGACCGTGAGGAGAAAAGGAAACCCTTTCACGGTCACCAACATTGACCCATCTGTAAATGAAAATATTCTAAAGAGAGCCATCCAAAAATGGACAGGCATTCCTGAAGACGACGTAGAGATTAGAGCCCTCAGAGAAAATAAAGGGGCCAACAGGTGGCAGCCATCGCAGTGAGATCAGCTAGAGCCGAACAAATGCGAAGACACCGATCAATAACAATAGGGTGGGTAGGGTGCCCAATAATGGAGCGATACACCCCAAC